ACTCTGATTATAATATCCTTAAGAATGGGTTTCAAATTAAGGATGAAGCAAATATTAGACTTAACCTATACAAACAAACAAACCCTTTTATCCCTTAATGCTAGCTAGGCCATTTGCATCTAAAAACAAGAGACTAATACATGACCAGTGCGGGAATTTCACTGCCCTGTAATTTTTGTTGTTGCTGTTAAAAAAAAATTGCAATTTGGTATGAATCAAATCAATCAGAAAGTCATCATTGGCACACTTAGCTTTCCTAAGAACTGGACTTTTAAAAGTTAATATTATGGCATATAGCTCTGAAAATACTAAATGAACAGAGACATAAAGGAGAAAAAGCAATTACCAAGAATCTCAAAAGTAGATTTCTGCCCCTTCATCTTTCATTTTCACCCAGACTCACTGGGTACTAGCTGGAGTATTCCTGCTCAGAAATAAAGGGGGAGCTGTGGGTGGTGGGGTGGGTGGCTGTGGAAGACACACTGTCATCTATTAGTGGAATCAACCCTTTCAGTTGACAAAGACAACAACCAAATCTTTAGATGGTTTATTTGATCTGCATGAAAGGGTGGCAGTGGGGATTTCTGGCACTTGAATAAGCGGAAACAATATTTTTGGCTAGAGAGATTTCTCCTGAGTTCTCTCAGGGAGCCTTCAAGAGAGCCATCTGGACTAAACAGTGTTTCTTTTGTAAAGCCCTGCGTTTAGAAACATAAAGAAAAGGTGTGGGAGCCATAATCAGATACCTATGGAAATCATTTATCTTGAAGGGGGCAATTTAGTCCCGCTTGCAATTTTTGAGATGAAAAGATTTATGTAAGGAAACAACTCTTTCTGTTTCTTTCTTTAATAAAAGATATATTTGTAGTTGATGTTCCAATGTGGAAGTGCTTATTAATGTTAACTCATTAATCTGCACTGTTGTTCTTTTGTGAGTGAGATGCCTCAGTTACCCGTGATATTGACAGTTGTTATGTCATGAGGGGACCTTGTCTTTGACCTTCATAATTGTTAATGGAACCTAGACTTTGAAGATGAATGTTCCCCTGCTCCCTTGGTCTTTAGCCAGCATGTGAAGCCATGTCATGGATGAAAATACTAAAAAAGTTAAAAGACAACCCTTCTACACCTAAGTAACACACTTACAGCAGTTACAAAGCAAAACCATGCTTGTAGCTGATACGCAAGAACCTGTATATTCTAACAAAATATCTTCAAAAACTATCAGATATTATATATATACATATATATTTTCTGTTCCTTCATATATTTTCTGTTAGAGCCTCCATTTGGAAAAAGATAATTCTTATCTTGAGATTTCCTTTGATTAGTGCCTTTTTTAAAAAAAATGGACTGTTTCCTTTAGCTGTCATTTTTGCCTAATAAATGACAAATGAGAGAAAAAATTTAGCACTAAAGTCATAGGACAGGTATGAAAAATATGCCATATCAAATATACTTTTAGATATTGTGTTAATGTATATGTGATATGTACTTCTGTATAAATTACAGTTTCTATTGACATCAATAGTAACTAATTATTTGAAATGCTTCCATTTTAATTACCCCATTTTCACATTATGTAAAATTCTTAGTGGATTAAAAAGAGAACTATTAAAGTTATATCTCTTCATTAAAACTGTACTAAGTCCAGTTCTTAATGGAGAATTTTCAGACATATTGCAATAACATGATTATGAAAAAAATGATATAAATGGATAATTTTTAAGAAAATCCTTTATACATTTAAAGCAAATCACATGAAAATGATTTATCTCAGCTAAAATATTTCACCAAGTAAGTTGAAGCTAAAAAAACTAAAGATATGCAGGTTGTATCTCAAAATACATTTTTCTGGAAGGACAGAGAGATCAATTTGGTTAATACTGTGGGTAAACACCTTGCTACTGATGTCAGTTAAATTTTAAAATATTTTTACTTTCCAGGAGTTAAAAATAAGAATAGAGATCATGTTGGATGAACTTCTTCTAACAGATTTTAGTAAGAGAAGTGATCCTAAGTGTTCTAATTTCAGGCTATTATTTCCATTCTTATTAAAGGGGAAGACTGGGCCAGGCAAAACTGGTTAGCCTGAATGTATCTTTTGAGTTTCCAGAAACAACGCAACTACAAGTACCTGCCAAACAGTCATAGAGGTTACAGGTTGAATATCATTATTTTTCTAATGTCAATTGCTTTTCACGTGATCTCATACTAAGGGCAATAGACTTCAACAGAATTTCCAACTAAAATAAAAGAAGACATTGTGACATCAAAGACTGAGCCCCAGTACCCTGGGATTTTTGTCATTAAGAGAGACAGGAAGAAAAAAGTAGGACTTTCATAATTATTATTATTTTAGTAAACATAAAGGACCCAGTATTAACTACAAACTTCAGCCATGCTTATAATTTAAGAATGGAGAGGGGGAAATGAGAGAAAAGAAAAGCTACATCATATTGCAATCTTGAGTCATTTCTACCTAATGAAATTAGCTAAATGAAAGTTTTATCAGAGGAGAGGGATAAGGCCTCAGGGAAATTTAAGACACAATGCATCCATTTCCCATCCTTGGGAGTCATCTGTGCTTTGGACAAAATATCCGGGGGTTCCTGTTTTCATAAGTGATTCCCATTAGAACTAAGACAGATTAGATGGTTGTGGGAGGTGAAACTTCCTACAACTAAGCACTTATTTGTACAAAATCTCTGCAAACAGAACTCACACTATTTAAACCCCTAGAACCCTTCAAGACCCTGAGTTACCTACTTGCATTCCCATTTTTTGTGGCCAGCCAGTTTATAGGCACAGTGAAAAAGAAAAAAAAAAAATGCTAACTGGATAAAATAACCATATGTCTCTACTGGAAGCTCCATTACTTGAATCATTTAAACCTCACCGGACAAAAAGCACCCGAGAATTCGCAAACCTCCACGAACTGGGCAGGGAAGAAGTGACCTAATGGGTAGCCAGTCCCCTGTGCTCCAATTTCTATGGTTCTGTGTTAAGAAAAGCTGGCCTGCCACACTGTTGTGAAAGCTTATACCCTAATTATACCTCAATAAGAGGGCACTTCTTCTTTGGACAAAAACAAACAAATAAACAAACAAACCAGCTCAGAATTTAACATTTACATTGCCATTATAAAGGCCTGGGCAATTTCCCATAGGAATAATATTTTCAAGATACAACAAAAAAGAGGACTCATCATCTTTATTCTAGAACCTAAACGCCAGGGAAAGAAGGTTTCTGGTCTGACTTTTGTTTGGGGGGTGGTGGTGAAATTTAGGGTAACCTCTATCAGACCCCATCTGCTTAAAATGTATCTGCCTCCAATGGGGGGGGGTCCAATGTGAAACTGTGTAGGTGGTTCATGGAGGCTGTACCAGCCCACATTGGAACTCTGCTTGTCATCATAAGGGAGCACATGCTGCCTCAGTTTCCTATCTTAGTAAGAACTGTTTGCACATCCTCAGCTGGCATAGGGCAGAACTGAGGGAAAGGGCATGGGATATGTGTGTGTGTGTGTGTGTGTGTGTGTGTGTGTGTGTGTGTGTAGCCAGGTGTATGAGGTGGGGGTGGATGGAGTTGTTTGCATATGTGCATGAAAGAGTCCACAGCTCTTCTCTCTAGGTATATATGTTTATTCATGGGATCTTCATTTTGGGTTGGGGGGGGTTATAGAAAAGAACATAAAACACAATTTCAATCTAAAATTGTTTTCTATGAAATGCATTGTTATCCTGTAGGCCACTGCTGATATGAGATGAAAGGATGTGATGTATCATAAAACCGGTGTATGTCCAAACTGGATGTTTCCAATGTAACATGTTCTGCCTTGGGGGGGGGAGCGGTTCGGGGGGGACGACATGAGGGAAGGAAGGAAAGGAAGAGAGGGAGAAAAAGAGGATGTATGCATGGTCAGAGTTGAAGGCTGACACCCATAGGGAATGACCCATCTAAAATTGTTACTCGTTCACAAGCCCTGGGATTTTCATATGTGTTTGCCTTCAGTGAATGTGCAAAGGACATTTCTCACAGTGTCCACCACTCAAAACCAGTTTTACTTCTTCTCTGCCATTTTAAAATTTATTTTTTTACACAAGGGAAACCATTTAACATTTAGGGCCTTGATAATTTTTCAATATTCAAATCATTCTGCATTGTACATGTGATGACTTCATTCCTTATGGATGTCACAGGCTGAGTTTAGAGATGACCTCCAGGATAGATTTGTAAATGCAACTTTCTCTCCTCTCCTCTTAAAAAGAGGCAAACAGTATTATTGCAAATAACCTTTAAGATAATTAACTGACAATACTGCAGCTAGCCTAAACTCTTCCTTCAGGCGACACCTAATTTAAGTGTTACTGGCACAAAGTGGAGACAGATTGCGCATTACCACTGCAATATTTACATAGCAGAAACCCACAGAGCAGGAAACGCGAGGCTCAGTGATGCACTAAATTAGAACAACCATACTCCAGTGTTAATTTGCCTCCCATTCTTTCCAAGACTCAGGTCCAGAAATCAGTACAAATACATATACAACCTCCCACTCTTAAATGAGTAAACCTGAAAGATGTTTGTACTTTTTCTCCCTGTGCCCTCCTCCCCTGAATGAAAATAACTTGAAATTTATTTCTTTTCTCCACAAGAACCATTTGGTCAAACTGTGTTTATTTCATTGCAACTTGTTCTCACTTTGATCTGAAATTATTTTCATATAAGGTAGTTAAAGAGACTTTTATTTTCTCTAAGGCTGCCAATATATCTCATGACAAAAAAATAATAATAAAGTCAAAGAAGAGACTCAATTGGTGAGATATTTAGGAAAGGGTAAGGCACATCTGCCTTCAGCAATTTTCTCACGAATAAATCTTATTTCCACTCTCCTTACCACCAAATAAAATGAGTTTTCCTCAAGCCATTTGAACAGGTTTTTTTTTTTTTCATCCTCCCCCCACAGCATTTTTTGAAGGCGTAGATATTACATTTACCTTTCCTAACTGCTGATGCTGCTTAAAGGCGGCAATCAGTTCTTCGGCCCACTGAATCTTTTCTGGAGTGGGAGTAAATTGCTCTTGGACCACTGCAATTTGGTTAGGGTGGATCACCTGCTTACCTGCGAAGACAGTAAACACATGAAAGATTTGTACAACAGACACATGTACAAATGAACTATGCCCACTGAAGAATGCCTCTGCTTCCCTCGCAGACTAGATACTAAAAAATTAGCTTAGAGCTTTTTTTATTTTTAAGAAACAAAGCAGTACAAAATAAAAGCCACAATCAGACAGGCTTTTCCAGAACACCACGTTAAGAATGAACACAACAGTGGAAGTGGCTGTGTTTTAGACTCTATAGAAGTGCCGCTCAGAAGAGATAATCTCTTATTTTCTTTTAGTTACAGGTGGGTGAATGAGGAGGCGGCTTGTTGAATAACTCCTTTGCTAGGAACTTGAGAGGATAATATCTGCAAATTATTGTTTTTAACAGAAGGTAGAATAAAATTAAATGAGAACTTTAAAATTTCTAAGTTGTCTTTGCTTATTTGGTAGGATCAGGCAATGTCTGAGTTCTTTCAGAACTGACATGTCCATTTGCATCAAGCTAATAGAAACAGATGTTAGGATCATGTTGATACCGAATACTGCCTTACAATGCTATATTTAATTTTCTTTTTGAGCATGTCACTTCTAGCATGCATCTATTTCAGTGAAAACACTGTTTCTAGGATTGTGAAATAAAAGGCAGATTTGAATACTGTGCCTTCTAGAGTATTCTACTTAAATTCTTTAAAAATAAAAATATAACAAAATTTCTTTATCCAAAAATATATCCGTATTTTCCCTTGCTGCTTATCTCTGAAAGCTGGCCATATCTTCTTTTCTAGCACGTTATACTAATTACAAGAAATATCATCTAAGCAGAAACACCTTCAAAAATCTTTGTGATCCTTTTTGAAGTTTAAGGATTCTTAAATGAAAACATCATACACAAACACACACACACACACACACACATATAGGAGTCAAAGGAGTTTTGAAATCATAAACAATTTAATATCAGGGAAGTATGGAATTTAATCAGGTCTTAATAAAATGCAATATAATTTAATGTCATAATAATGATGAGATTATGTTTTATTATATAATAAAGTTATGGACATAAATTGACTCTCTAAAGATGATGTATATTTAATAGCTATTTACTCTCCTAAATACATTTGTTGCTGTGTCAATTTGCTTGCTTCTGAAATACTTGCTTTAACATTTGCCACTAAAAATGACATCTAAATGTTTTATAAAATGCCAGTTTCTATTATTGTTGTTATTCTGTTGAGTAGAAAAAGGAACGATGTTTGTAAAAATAATTTTTAAAAGGTTTTGTGTTAGGGTTTCAAGAGAAGAAATTTAAGTGGATACGTAAAACAATGCATTTTTTAAACCCTGGCATAATTAAAATGCCCTTATGGTCTTATTTCATTCTTATCTGTCTACATAGTGGGAAAATATTACAGACCTATGTAAGTAAAGGGCTTCAAAATATTTGAAGACTAATTTCTGGAAGCAAAATGAGTTACAATGAAAATTCTTTTCAATAGTAGTTATCGATCATATATATTTAGCTAATCTAAGGGTTGGTACAATATTATTTTAAAAGGTTGTCGGTGCTCGGTAGTCACTTCTCACTGTTAATCCTGAATTTCATAATTTATGTACATAATTTACGTTGATGTACAACAAGGCAGATTTCACAGGAACTTCTCAGGACAGGCACTATAAGTTGAGGAGCAAACACAACTAATTGGAATTCTGTGATGTCTCCGATAGGTCTGAAGCACCTTTGTTTCAGTCAGAGGCTCTTAAGGTATATGTTAGGTTTTAAAAATCTATGTGTAATCTCACCTGAGTTCTTTACCATGTATACTGCAATGACTGTATAACAGGCTTTAATGCCATGTGGGAATGAAGCAAATATTTTATCCAGAAGAGTTGTTATTGACAAGTTACCGAGGGGGTGCAAAATCAGACGACATTAAAATTTATGACCATGAAATCCTTTTTACAGTACCACTTGATATATCTTGCTTTAAATCAATACCTGTCAAGTCTTTTAGGTAACTGTATGATGGTATCATTTTCGCTTTCTATAAAAGACTGCAAAAAAAAATTAGGAAACCTGTATTTCATCTAATTTATCCTCTTTCTTCTCAGCTTCATAGTGGCTATGATGACTAAGACAGCTGGCAAAGCTTTCTCCCACATTCAGCTTGGGTGTCTTTCTATTATTTAAAAAATCCTAAAGTTAATGGCTATATATACAGCCAATAGATCGATTTTAAATCCATCAACATGAGTTGGTGCCCCACGTAGTAATGGTGTGATGCTAACTTTTTAAAACCTACAACTCATTAGAAATATGTATATGTATATATTTAAACATAAATTTTTAAAGTACAGACAATCCTCACCCAGCATCATGGATAACACGATGCTTCTGTTGGGTTTTAAGCCCTTTGACCACCCGCTTCAGATAAAGATTGTACAGTTAGGCACAACCCTGTCTCTTTCCTTCCCCCTTTCCCTTTCTTGTTCAAGGCCCAAGATATGGTGATTAAATTTCAAAAAATTAGTTCTCATAAAGAATGAGTGTCATAAAATAGTAAGAGCACACATTTAAAAAAATGACTATCCATAATCTCATCTTTTGATTACCTTTTATTACATATAGAAATATAGCTGGACCACAATGCCCTCTCTAAAAATCAAGAAATATGTATGGAGCGTGGCCTCAGCTTACAGCCTCATTCACTTGGATGGACAATGGGCACTGTGCCCTCAGTGCCTCCCCAATCGCCTGCCTCCATCTTTCTGTGATCTAATGCTCCCCGTTGGGCAGAAACAATAGTGCCAGGCCCACAAGTTCTTCGTGCTGAGTTGGGCACAGTCTAGAAATTTAAACCGGATTTGAAATAGCTTGTGTTCTGAGATTGAATTGGGGACTGATTTAATTCAGTCCTGATCTCGGAGAAACCTTTGAGCCCCAGAGGAAACTGGGGGGGAAAAAAAAACCCTAAGAAGACCAAGGGCTGGTGGCTGAAGCCAGGGCTCTCTCTTTTCTATTGAATTAGTTCTCATTTTAGAGCAACATCTGGCTGCCTGGCAGCCAGTGCCACATATTTTAGGCCAACGACATCAAGGTCTATTAGATAAATTTCATGGGGTTTTTCCTCCAACTTTTCCACTTGGGCAACATCCTAACCACCTGCTGGAGGCAAGGACAGGCATACCCGAAGCATTGATGGGGAATTCCTTTCTTTCTTAGACACCATTTAATTTGGGGAGCGATTATTTAATAATAGTTCAGATAATTGAAAAATATGTCTGGATAAGAGATTATATTTTAACTTTTTAAAATTAGGGTTTTGTATTTATTTAAGTGTTCTATTAAATACAAAATCAAATGTCAGGCTTATTTAATTCTAACAACTATAATATTCTCTTTTAAGTCTTTCCATTTTTTTTTTAGATTAAATCACCCTCCAATAAGATAGATTTTACATTTCAAGGCACATTATGAAACTTTCAGTTAAATCCTAACTAGATATAATATCAAAATATTTATAAAAGGGATGAATAACAGATGCTTGTATTTTTTCTTCTGATTGGGTGTATTTCTAGTGTTAATCTTAGAACTTTCATCCAAGAATAAACAAGAATGAAAGAATGTGGTGCTTTATCCCACAGCTGCCTCGTGTGCGTGTGTGTGTGTGTGTGTGTGTGTGTGTGTGTGTGTGGCGCATTTGGGAGTGTACATATGTAACTGCACAGAGTTATTTATGAATAAGAGTCTATTATGGTTTGAAAATATAGATTTTTGTTGCAAAAATATGATTTTCAGTTGGTCCCTGGACTCATGGGGACAGGAGCAAGGAACACAATGCTGGTTGTCAGCTGCTTCCCTGTACCACATGAGACTGAGAGTGCCCACTGACCCCAGTGCCAGTCGATACCCGTAGGTGTCGCCAGGTATGCATACACTTATTGGACGGTACAGGAAGAAGGAGGGCCTTGAAGTGGCTGAAGAATTAAAAAAAAAAAAAAAAGTTATGGGTAAAAATCAAGTCACAGGCAATATCATCAATTGTTTTAAAAAAGAAATAATCTATTTTAGGAAAAATTTCTTCTATTCATCAGTCCAAATTCTTGTAATTATTCACTTAAAGACACTTCTGTAATAAGCCCCCTCCCTTGCCTGGAATTCGCCAAAACTATTAATAAGACAGAGGGAAAATGGTAACAAACACGAGGAGAAAATACAGTAAGGGGGTCTGCATTTTGATTTGCCTGCACAGGTGGCCCTTTCATGCTGCAGATAGCGGGGTAAGAAGATGAGATATTTAAGACACGAAAAATACAATTTCTGGTTAAATTCTAGTTTCTGGAATGCCTGCTAATCTACACGCTGCCTTCTAAGATAGCACCAGGGACTGTACCGGTGAAGCCCATGGCGGCTGCTTCTCTCGACTGTCTGAGAAGCCCATCAGCATCCCGGAAGTCGATGTACACCAGGTCTATGGCTTGCAGGCCAAAGGCCTTTGCTATAACAACAATCTTCTGTCGGGCGTAGAGAATGTCTTGGGTCTCTGGCCTACTTGTTGCTCCTAGAAATAGGATATGCACAGAAAAAGGAGTCTTTAGCTTTAGAAACCAAGCCCGGGCATTTATTATAGAAACCCAGTTTATAAAGACGTGTGTTTCCCAAGGAACTGCTTCTCAGCAAAGTGATAACTCAGACACACGGGAAGACCCGGAGCAATTGAACTCACACGGGTCTGTTTCACTGGCAAGACATTTTTCTACATAATCACTTGTACATGCATCAAGAAAAGGCCCCTCCTCCATTTCAGGAGATGGCATTAGGGCCGCACCGATTCCAGATAGATTTTTTTCCTTTGTGTTATGGCTTAGAAAGTGTCAGTCCAAAGAAAACAGTCCAGGAAGCTATGCGGGGAGATGGCTCATTTCTTAGGCTGCAGGCAGAATGGAGTTTGCTGATCTTGTCATACTTGTGCAATGCTTGATCCTCACTAAGGTCCTAAGCTCCAGGGTTAGGTTGGAGGGCTTGGGGAAAGGGCAAGGCCCTTCTTTGGGGAGAGGTGGAAAGTTCCTATCTGCCTTTATAGTCCACTGAACTGTGGGACACACAAAAGTTTCCTGAGAAGACTTGTATTAAAATAAATTCTATTTTTCCCTCCTCTGTTTATACTTAGTCCACGATATCCACTACTCAGGAAAAACTGTCCCCAGATCTCTGGGACATGATTCTGAAAACACCCTTCAGGCATTAGCCATAGAAACACGGAGGTTAAGAGTTCAAGGGGTAGAGAACATGGGTGAACACCAGTAGAGCCTCAGGAAGTATTTAACAAGCAGGTAAACGTATAATCTATCTTTAAAAAATATTTGTCTACTATAATGTAGAAAACAATTTATTAAGGCTAATGTAAAAGTGTCTTCCCATTAAGTTTAGAGGCCCAGGCTGCCCACGTACTAATGTGATGACAAAATATTTAAGCCATTGTGAGGTTGTTTAAATGTTTATTAAAAGCGAAGTAGACTCTGTATATTTTTGAACATGCCTGAGGTTGCAATGGGCTTTTATTAGTTATTTTATAAATGAGCAGTAGTGATCATATCACATTCTGGAAGCAGGACCAGGAGGAGCCCTAAATTATCAGGAAGTAGTGGTCTGTCTATTGTCATGAAAAGCCATTGTCAGTGCTGGTACATATACATTGTTATGTAAATGTCAGTTTGTGAGGGGAGTAAAGAAAAAAATTATACAGAGAGAGAGAGAGAGAGAGAGAGAGAGAGAGAGAAATGATCTTGACACCTATGCTGGCCCGAAAATCTTCTCCTCCAAAAACGACTGCATCTAGAAAAAGGCCCACATGAGGCCCGAGCTTTAGTGTTTCTTCACACACTGCCTGGAAAAGAAAACAGAACAAAGTCTCACAAAAATGCATTCAATTCCAGAAAGACCCTGACACATTTTAGTTGAAGCAGACCTACAAATGCAACCCAAATTGAACCCTTCTCCGAGGGATTTACAGTCATCCAGATAAATCTCCCATGTGTGCTTGCCCTGAAAGATGGAGTATGTTCATATAGCCATAACTATTTATTACATAGCTAATGCTAAGTGTAGGTTACCAATTTCAAGAGAAATTTTGAGTGAACTCATTTAGCTTATACTATAAGTAATTCACGTTGCTCCAGAATTTGTTTTTGCTTAAAGAGACTCTTAAATAATAAACATAAAACCACAGGACAGAAGGAAAGAATTTTAAAAATCAAGCTAATTGGATTATTTGCATTAGGATCAAGTAAATGGTTTCAGGCTTGAAGTCACACAATACAAAACGTACAACTACTATGGAGGGGAAAATAAAAATGCAACAAGTCACCCACGACAGGAGAATAAAGCAACTCTGACATGTCTAAATGAAAGCACAGATGAGTAATGTTCGATGTACACAGAACCTTGAGTTGTGAGGCGTGGGGCTGTGATCTGCTAATCTACATGTGGATGGGGAAGAAATGAGGAAGTATGGGGAAACTGTTGATTAATTACAGGCACTGTAAGAGCTCCTAAGTACATTAAACAATAAAATGGTAAAACACTGCTTTAAAATGAAATCACTGTGTGCATCTCCTTGCAATTCAGGGATGTGCTCTCAATTACATTCGGAAAGTGCTACGGTGGGCTGGAGGAGTTTCTGTGATTATTTGTGTCACGAGACAAGGTTTGAAGCAGCCCCCAAACATTTGCACTCAGCCCCTCCTGCACGGTCCCAGGGGTCTCCAAAGTTTCCTCTAAGCATTTGCCTGCACAGTTTCTCTAGCTAGCACAGGTCAGCTATCTTTTTCCTTTGTTTTCAGTGATTTCTTTCTCCTGCCCTCTGGGTTGGAAGAAGACAAAACAAAATTAAAAAAAAACAAGGGCTAGAAACTCCGAGAAGGGGCATATAGGGGGTGCTACATGACTGTTCCTAGGTCAGGTAGAATGAGAGACATTTTGGAAAACAATATAAAGGCCCCAGTGATCAAGGGGAACAAACAAGTTGACTATGGATTTGGTAAGGCAGGTAGTTTAATATGGCCACTCAGTGGTTGAGATTTGGTCCAGCTAATCTTCTTCAGTGTGTATTAGAGGATATTTTATATTCTAATGTGGTAAACTGAAACAAGAGACTACAAATTATTTATGTATATGAATTTATAAACAGTAATCCTATCTACTAGAGATTACAGATAATGTTAACACAGAGCAACCAGGACATTTCTAGATAAAGAGGCAATTGTTAGAAAAAGCACAATTTAAATTTAATTCACAAAGGTGACAAAATAATCTTCCATGTACATTTAATCAATACATGTAATAATTCAAAGCATATATCGTGATTATTTACTTATGAGTAGTACCAGGGATGTAAAAACGTTTTCTTTAAATATTTAAGACTGAGAGCTTTTCCCTTCAACTTAACTACTTTCTTTGTCTTCAAAGGTGCTGACAACCTTGCTTTTGGGCTATGACAGATAACAAACAGTGCAAGTAGATTACTTTGTTTATAAATATTTCTAAAATTTTTTAAGTAGATATTAAAATGAAAACCAAAAGTTCTCTTTAGGTAATAAAAATAAAACACTAACTTATGTAATCATTTATGGCTTTCTTACCTTAAAATTGAGCAAACCCATTGCAGTTTCCACAAAGGGGATTAAATTCATTGGTTGTTCTAGTTTTCGGCCTTTTAAATGGAATGAAAATTTGTCTGAAAACTAAAATCAAAAGTGTCATAGGTGATTAGAGACAAAAATAGAGGTGCAATTCCTGAAATGTAGATGTAAAAGCAGGGTTTAACCTCCTTCATCCACACTAAAGAATTGGGAAAAAGAAAGGGAGGAGAGGGAGGGAGGGAGGGAGGGAGGGAGGAAGGAAGGAAGGAAGGAAGGAAGGAAGGAAGGAAGGAAGGAAGGAAGGGA